AAAGTGATTTGTTGGTGATTTGCTTGACGATAATGCACATTTTAAGTTCTATTTCTGGTTTCTTTTACCATAAGAAACAAAGCTCAATACACCCATTTACATGCTTATTGCCACTTACGTAGTGTTTTTTTGTTTTGTTTTGTTTTTTTATTTATTTCACAACAAACAATTTCAACCAGAGTGCCCAAACTTTTGCAGAAGACTGTAAACTATAATATACTAGTATTATACTGTAGCGTACTTACTAGTTCATCTTTTTACAATAAGTATTTCAGATTTTTTTAAAGGTTATGCTAGTAGTGGGCCATATGGACAAGAATGTATCATGATAGAATTAAAATTTCTAATGGTTTCAATATATATCACAATATATGTCGTTTCTAACAAAACCATTTTAGATACTTAAGTATTTTTGTAAGTCGCTTATTATTTTGGGATGTACCAAAGTAAATATGAAATATTATATATTGTGCAAAATAGTGAAAGCAAACCTGATATATAAATAGTTTTATCTATAATATTATATATATGTTAATATTACTTTTTATCACTAGCGTCATGGTCCTGGCAAAAACAGTGGCAAATGTTGTGTGGTTAATTTCTACCAGAAGTTTAGTTTGAATTTTCTGTTCCTCCTTAATTGGAGTGGCAATTACATTCTGGCACCTGAACAGGCTTTGTGTAATTACTGCAGCATTTAGGGTGAAAGAGGAGATTTGAATAAGAAGCCAACTTCAGTTTCAACAAACTTCTTTGTCTCTTTATCTTGAGAACAGCTTATTTGTCTCGTGCATCTCGTACACTCATATCGCTGACTGCTAAACACAAAGTGTTGTCTGATGCAGCTGACCGAGTCAGGCGGCTCCTTTTAGGCAGTACGAGAGCAAACAGGTGTCCGATGTCTGATGTCCATGTTAAGCTTCTGCTAACCCCAAAATATCAGCCTTTATGTCCTTTATGGACTGCTTTATATGCAATGAACTAGGCTAGAGGGTCTGTTGCATTTTTATTTGAAACATCAATGGCTCAGCTGACAAATGGACTAAGGTTAGCATGGTTTGCTCTGCTTGTACATAGCGTTATTTGAGGCATACCGATACAATGGTTATGACAACTCCTACCTGAGGAAGAATTTCAACACCTACTGCTATGTTATGCACGATTTCCTATTGTTAGGGCCTTTTCGATTAATCATCAAAATGATCAGTAACTAATTGGATTAGCAGTAATCTACAGACAGATGTAATGATACTAGTTATTATCATGTTATAATGATACTAGATAGTAAATGCACATTTTCTTGAAAAACTGTTACTAAACATATGTAGCCTGCATATGGTTACTATATGTGGTTCAGTGAGAGATGGGAACGAGAGAGGAATTGGAGGGACATTTTGTCCCTTGAGTTAGGTTGACTGACAATATCTGGGCAGCAGGTGTTGCACTGGAGGCAGTCCAATCACAGGCCACGTCTGTGGAGGGTGCCAGAGCCGGAGCCAATCAATTTCGGCGAGGAAAAAAAGTTCCCACCTTCTAATCCTGCAGCTGAGTCCTGTTCAGAGGCACTATTCAATCATCTCCGTGAGCTGAGTGCTGTGATCTACTTTGCGAGTATCCCCAAACAACCCTAGCGCATCTCTGCTCTGTTTCCCCCCCCCCAAAAAAAAAGTGATTCCATTTGAACACGACAGCAGAGTCTTGGAGTTTTCGCAGCCGTTTCTTTATTGTAAATGCATTGTTTTTGTGGATAGAAAGAGTATAAAATGTAGTATATTGCACAATAGAAATCAATTGCACTTTCCCAAGGTATAGCGATGCATCTGTGTTTCATTATGCTACAGTAACAGCTTGTCCACACTGTGCAATTCGAATGTAATTCTAAACTAATTATGTGCACTAATGAGAAAAAACATGATCTAGCTTGTGGTTTTCACAGCACACTCTTAAAAATAAAGGTTCCTAAGTGGTTCTTAGCATGGATATGTGGTTCAAGGAAAAATCTTTGCTTTGTATGGGTTCTTTTGAACATCCACATTTTACAAAATTCCTGCAGATTAACATGTAAAGCAATTCCGTATGGTTTGATGTGAAATGCTCAATTCTAGAGAAACTTAGTTAGAATTGTTCAAAGTGGGGAAGATAAGAGCCAGACATCTAACATCTCTAAAAGCTTGCTCACAGAAAGCTGTTATACAAAACAGCTATAGAAATGTTGCCTGGTGCCTGAGACATTTTTCACGACAGTTTGAGATGAAAATTTTCAGATTTACCATGATCAGCATTACATGTAAAAACTCAGCGTAGGTTCACTGATCAGCTAAATAAAATAGCCGTATTTTCGTTGTAGACATCATGAGCCCTGGGCTACATTACAGAAACTTCTTAAGTCTGAAATCTTATCTGTTTAGTCACCATGACCCCTTCAGATAGGACTGAATTTAGGACAGAAGCCATTACAGTCAACAGTCCCTAAGTTCATAATCTTATGCCATTTTCTTATGTGGAGTTAATGGATTACAGAAACATCTTAACAGAGCTGTCTTAACTGCTGTTTTAACCTTGGTCTGTTTCTAATGTTTTGTGCAGTGACAGGCAGCATAGTTCACTATAACTAGCATAATGACGCTGCATTTATCTACACTGAAAACGGTGTTTTGACTTGTGAGGGTTTTTTTTAACAGCGTTTTAAGACCCCTGATGCTGCAGACATGATCTCCACTGGCCCCTCTTATTACCTTTGTTTGTTAATGTTTGATAAAAACTCATCAGATATAATATTACAGTGATGGTGGTGAATAATGAGGAAACAGAGCTGAACAGAACGTGTGTCTGTTTATAGGAGGAATAACATTAGCTAGCACTCCCAGCTAAAGCGTTTGGGAAATGAAACTGAAAGAGGAGAGCGGCGACGCTCTGATAAACAGCAGGAAGCGCTGTCACAACGTTATTAACTTCAATTTTGTCGCGCTTTAGTTTTGTTTGAACTTTTTAAATCAGTAACAGTAGCTAATGTTAGCTGTCTGGCTAACTAGCATCGTTATTTTGATTACAGCTGCATCCCAATTCAGGGGCTGCATCCTTCGGAGGCTGCATTTGAAGGCTGATTGCGTCACAGCAGCGCGACTAGTCTGTCCCATTTCAAAGACTCCTTTATATGCAGCCGAGAAATGTGTCCTTCTTTTCCATAGCAACGAAGGATCCAACAGATAGATCTTTCACCAGCCAACATATCCCAAGGTTCATTGCGTGCAGCGAAGATTCATAAACATGGTGGCATCAGCAAAGGAGTGAACGGCTGCTGAGTACACTTTTAAATGGATGTATTGGGTTTAAACTGAGTCTAATAGCTAGCGATGCAGATGTTAAATTAAAAAAAAAAATGTGGCCTGAAGCAAAACATATGCTTTTGTTTTGTTTTAGGGAGCAAGGAGCAGACAGAGAGAAGCATTTCAAGCTCTAATAAATGAAAACATAAAAAAAAATAAAATCAAAGTTTCTGGCTTCATTTTAAAAGAACTTTAAAATAACTCGACAGGAGCAGCATTTCGTGATGTGCTGGTAAGGGCAGGAACAGCGGTGCTGTGACACAAACAGGAAATCCGCTGTAGGGCAGAACGTCTCATTTCGTTTCAGCCTTCATGGGTCTAAGCATCCTTCGAAGGACACGCCTTCGTAGACTGCGTCCTTTGGAGGATCCAGCCCCTGAATTGGGACACACTGGATGTGTATACATTTCAGCTGTGTATGGTTGGTTGCTGGGTAACAGACATAATAGTTGATTGCCGACTTCGATCGAGTACGTTAAGATTTCTTAACTTGAGATGAGATAATATGTTGTAAGATAGATAGATTCCTAAATCAAGATAAGATTTACTTCTGTAATATGAATTTGTGAAAAATCTTATCTTGACCTTGCAGATCTTAAGTTAAGACAAAAAGATGGGAAGGTTCTGTAATACGGCTCCTGGTTCCTATCACCACCACTGTGAAGAACTCCCTTGATAAGTTTCTCTACAATTAACCTTTTCACATCAGTCTACACTGAATGATTATGTTTACATTTCTGTGATTGAATTTTGCAGAAATTTTCAAAAATTAGTGGGATTCATTGAAGAGGAGAAATATTATTTACAAAAACAGTTCATCATTTATTCAGTAGTCCATTAAAGTTCATTAGGTTTTTTTCTATGGCGTCACACCAAAGGCCCCTTTTCAGCACCTTCATTTTTAAGAGTATAGATGGTGGTGGCTCCTCCAGTATTTAGTGGAGTGCTAACAAAATACTGTATTTGGCACTGGAGTAGAAATAGGCTAGGCAGTGGTCTGAAGGAAGGTCAATTTTTTTTTTTTAGCAAATACAAAGCTGTCAAGGTAATGACTGTCTAAAATATAATATAAATAAGATATTTACATAGCCCTCTTTTTGTCACCAGTATCATTTCCCTCTTCAGGTTTTAAGGTTTTGAGGATTGTATCGTCAGACAGCTACGCACAGATGCAGGTCCAGGGTTTTTGTTGTTGACTTAGGTGACACTGCTAAATGTACAAAGCATTTAAATTAGCCTGTGAAGATACAATGCTATGCTTAATTGCTTCATGTTTGGAAAATGTGCAGTCTCTGCCTTAATACCACAGTCATTGTTTAGTGTGAAAGACAGGCCATTGTTTGAAATAGAAAAAAGTCAATATTGTTTATGGAAATCATTTGTTTTCATGAATACTTACAGGGAAATTGAATTATTTATTTAGTTCAAGCTACTGACTTAATTACTTAATTGTCCTTAACATTTTTTCTTATGAAAAATATCTCTATAGTCTTCAGCTGTGGTGCATGCAGTTAAATGATTCTGCATTCACACATCATAACGTCTTTCAGAACAACTTAGAATATTAACATTTGTTTTATTTAAACCCTTTTTCTGCCAAATAATGGGCAAAACATTTGCCACAGAACGAAAGAAAGATGAACGGAAAGCAAGAGCTTTAAATGAACGTCCTCTTTTATATTTCCCAAAGTTTGTGCTTTGCTGATTAGATGCCTCTGATGGTGCGCTTCCAAATTGGCATTGTGGTGAGCTAGCTTTTAGCTTTGAAGTTTCTGTTCCGCTTTTCGGGCCCCTGGAGAAGGAGACAAGAGTTAGGCCGAGAAAATAGAAGAGAGGGAGATTTGTCGTAGTTACTGGTTGATTTTTGGAGAAAAAACAGCTCTAATAGAGCCAAATAAGCTTTCTTACCTTGCTAATTAACCATACATCCTTTTTGGTAAACAATGATAGCAGGTGAATTCTCAGCAGTTCCTCAGGGTTTATCAAAGATTACAGAATGAAAACAAATGTTATTCCTCGTTAAAATCCAATCGCTGACAGCAGCCCACGGTGCTACAATCACAGATCAGTGGATTGTGGCTTTTCCGTCACATCCATTTGTCAGTGTGGAATTGGACAGATTGGGCTCTGAATGTTCTTATAGCCTGATGGCGCATGGATGCCGGATCCAAGAAAACCGTTCAGAAAGTCCATCCATCAGAGAAACCACAGTTTCCAGCGTGCGTGCTTCTTGGCCTCGCTCTTGGACTTGCGTTTGGGAGTGGACGTGATCACTTCGTGTGAGTAAGGCAGAGACGGGTAGGGCAGGTCCACTGTTGGACACAGTCTTTTCATCAGCGGCTGGAGTTTATCCTCTTGCAACTTAAAGTCCAGCTCCACGCTAAAGACAGAAAAACAGGCAATTACTTAGGCTGGGATTATTCACAGGTCATAAAGGCAAAAAAAGGTCATTTAAGTACTTTTCAAAAGTGTAATTAATATGAAAAGTGGGTATTTGTAATGTTTATACTTCAAAAATATAGCCCTATTAATAAAAAAAGTTCAGATGCTGTGCAAAATGTAAATAAAAACAGAATGAAATGTGCAAATTGTTTAAACTCTGTATTTAATTGAAAATAGTACAATGACAACACATGTTCAACAAATGTTGAAACTAACACAGTTTGTAGTCATTTGAAAAATATATGTCCATTTTGAATTTTATGCGAGCAACATGTTTCAGAACAGTTGGGACAGGGGGTGTTTACCACAGAGTTACATCACTTCTTCTTTTAACAGCACTGTATAAGCATTTGGGAATTGAGGAGACCAACTGCTGTAGTTTTGAAAGTGAAATGTTCTACCATTCTTGCTTGATATAGGAATTCTGCTGCTTAATAGGTCAGGGTCTTCTTTGTCATATATTTCATTTCATAATGCGCCAAATGTTTTCAGTAGGTGACAGTTGCGGGACTGCAGACAGGCCAGTTTAGCACCCAGAATTTTTTTTTTTTCTTTTTACTACAAAGCCTTGCGGTTGTAATGTGCAGATTGTGGTTTAGTGTTGCCTTGCTGAAATAAGCAAGGCCTTCCCTGAAAAAGACGTTGTCTGTATGGCAGCAGTTGTTGCTCCAAGACCTGTATATATTATTCAGCATTAATGGTGCCTTCACAGGTGTGCAAGTCATCCACACCATGTGTACTAATACACCCCCCATACTATCACAGATGCAGACTTTTAATCTCTATGCTGATAACAAGCCGGATGGTCACTCTCCTCTTTAAACTGGAGGACGAAGCATCCTTGATTTCCAAAAAGAATTTTAAATTTGAATTCGTTGGACCACAGGGCACTTTTCCACTTTGCCTCAGTCCATCTTAAATGACCCTGGGCCCAGAGAATGCGGCGGTGTTTCTGGATCCTGTTTATATGTGGCTTCTTTTTTGCATGGTGGAGTTTAACTTGCATTTGTGCGTGCAGTGATGAACTGTGTTCAGACAGTGGTCTTTAGCAGTGTTCCTGAGCCCATGCAGTGGTTTCCGCTACAGAATTGTGCAGTGCGGCCTGAGAGCCCGATGATCAGAGCCATCCAGTACTGGTTTTAGGCCTTGTCCCTTGCATACAGAGATTTCTCCGGATTCTCTGAGTCTTTTAATGATATAATGAACTGTGGATGAAGAAATCCCCAAATTCTTTGCTGTTTTATGTTAAGAAATGTTATTCCTGAATTTGCCCTTCCACTGTGAGAATACAACTTAAGACTATGAGTCTGAAAGGATGTGTAGCTGTCAAGAAGCTGGTACTGAGAAAAGGAAATAGACAAAAAAAGAGAATTTGCACTGCAACACTGAAAGTGTTGACTGACTTTTGCACAGTACTGTATATCAAACTGAAGTAAAAGCATGTCATGAATCTGTTTTTTTGGTTTTTTTTTAATGAAAAAAGTTAATTTGAGAGATTTAGAGTCTGTGGAGCTGCTTCATCGCTGCTGTTTATTGATGAGTCAATGCATGCAGGACACGGGCGCTTGCCCAACGATTTTATTTAGATCAGATTAAAGGCGGAGAGGGCCGCTAATCTGAGAGTTTAACTGCTGCGCTCCTCAGAGATCAGCTGATCAGCGAAGGGATTATGACTGTGGCGAATAGAGTGGGTCAGATGGCTCATGGTGAGATGCACTCACACATACACGTGCACCCACACAGACGCATTCATTCCTGTGTCCCAGAACAGCGCAACAAAACCAGTCCATAGTTACATACACAATATATGAGATCAGGCAAGCTGAGATCAAATTGATTCTCTTGTTGAAATTGCCTCTGAAATTAGCTGGTGAGTCTAACGGGAAAGTGTGCAGTGTGCATTAACTGTGCGGCACTTTATTAATGACATGCTGTGGTTTTCACTCTGTGGACAATTACAACGGTGACCCTAGCAATTGATTTGCTGGGAGAAAGAGCTGGAGGTGGGCTGCAAGCCTCAGATTCATAAACACAGCTCCAGAGACAAGAACAGTCAGCATATTTTGAGCCATAATTTGTTTACACTACTATTGTAGATGGCAGAATTAAAGACCCTCATATGTAGTCTTGTGTTGTTATGAGAGGATTAAGTGGATTCAAACCTAATGAATGCATCCATTCCCATTGTATATGCCCCTTTGTTTGACTACTCCCACCGACTCTTGAAAACAACACCACTTCTAATGCTTCATTTATACTGCTGTCATACCCTATTATAGCCAGAGCTGAAAATATGAACCTTTTGCATTTGCTTAAAGCGTTTTCTGTAATAGTACTGGTCGTAGGGCCTTGAGTTTATAACCTACATCTCCAAAAGTATGTGGACACCCCTCCTAATTATGGAGTTAAGGTGTTTCAGGCCTATTTTCACCTGTTGCTGACAGGTGTATAAAATCAAGCACATTGCCAAGTAATCTCCATAGACAAACATTAGTAGTACAATGGGTGGTGCTGAAGAGCTCGGTAACTATAAAGGTGGCACTGTCACAGGATGCCAGTTTTGCCACAAGTCAACGTTTCTGCCTTGCTAGATCTGCCCCAGTCAACTGTAAGTGCTATTATTGTGAAATGGACGCATCTCGGAGCAAAAACAGCTCAGCCACAAGGTAGTAGATCACACAGACAGTGCAATTGTGTTAACTGGAGTGATTAATCACGCTTTAATATGTGCCAGTCCGATGGATGAATCAGGTAGGAGAACATTAACTACTGGAATGCATAGTACCAACAGTAGTGTTGATAATGGTCTGGGGCTGTTTTTCAGGGTTTGGGTTTGGGCATTAACCTCCAGTGAAGGGTAATGTTAATGCTGCAGCATACAAATACATTTTAGACAGTTTTATGCTTCCAACTTTGTGGCAACAGTTTGGGGAACATAGATTGCGAGCCAGGCCTTCTCTTCCAACATCAGTGCCTGACCTCACAAATGCTCTTTTGACTAAATTCCCACAGACACACTCCAAAATCTTGTGGAAAGCCTTCCCAGAAGAGTGGAAGCTGTCATAGCCACAAAAGGGAGCCAACCCCATATTTTGGTGTCCAACAAGCTGATGTTGGTTTGGTCAGGTGTCCACATACTATTGGTCATATAGTGTAGTGGTAGCCTCTTCTTACAGTACCATCAATGTGCCATCCTGCTTTCCCTCAAGCTGTAGCATTCTTGTACATATTCACTAGCCAAAGAAGCATTTGTCCTTCTTCTAAAAATAATTTCAGCTATTTCTCTCTCTCTCTAGCTGTCAGGACTTACCTGGCATCCATTTGCGTGCTCTCCAGCTTATTACACTCCAAACAGACATAATGGAGCAGAAGTCAATAAGTCATGACCATCGATTGCATTCATTTATTAAAGATTAGAGGGAGCTCTAAGTAAATTGCAGTAGCGTCGGGAAGTGGTTGTACACACCTTTTGTGTCCAATCCTCGGGTTTATTTTGTTAGCTCCAGCATGTCTTGGCGTTGGACCGATACAGAGTGTAAGTGTCAGCTTGCAGCCTGTGATGATCTCCTACAGCAGGCACTTTTGCGTTTTTATCCCAGCAAATAAAAGCCAGCCAAGAAGCCTCTGAGTTTGTGTCCTCTTTTACAGCGAAGTGCGCAATGTGCCTCGTCAACAAACACAGTTTTTATAACAGGAATTCACAGATCCAGATTTTTTGCAAATGATCGGAGTAAACTTCTTGCGGGCATGTTAAATTTAGAAGCAGCGGTTGAGTTCACCTCGTCTATTCTCGGCTCTTGTGAAAGCTCAGCGATTCTCAGCTCCTACGGTGGAGGAGAACAGAATAACTGTACGGGCATGTGCATAGGCTCTATTGAGCAATTAATCACTGGGTAGATCTGGACAATTAGTCTCTTTGTACACACTTCTCATCTCATGTGAGGCCTTCTCAATATCAGTCGCCAACGGCATGTCAAACAATGAAAACTGAACCTGATATTTTTGCAGAGATGACTCTGAAATGGCTGAAATATGATCAGGTTAATCATCTGCTCTGGAAGCTATTAGAGCTTCTCATCCAATGCTGAGCCTTGCGTCTTCACAAATGAGGAGCGGCTACTTAGTCATTGTTAACCTGAAAGAACTGCTGTCCATGTAAAAGGTTTTTGAGAAAAAATATCTTAATTATATATATATATATATATATATATATATATATATATATATTATTTTAAAGAATAGTTTTACAGAATACTGGCAAAAATTCAATTTACCTTATAAGATATTGTAACACATGATGCAGTTTTTGCCGAACATACACCATACGGACAACATTATTGGGACACCTACACATCCCATTCTAAATCCATAGGCATTAATATGGAGTTGGTCCCCCTTCTGGAAAGCTTTCTATAAGATTTATTATTGCCCATTCATCCAGACGAGCATTTGTGAGGTCAAACACTGATGTTGGACGAGAGGGCCTGGCTCACAATCTCCGTTCTAGTTCATCCCAAAGGTGTTGGATAGTGTTGAGGTCAGGGCAGGTTGAGTCAGTCAAGTTCTTCCACACTAAACTCACCCAACCATGCCTTTATGGACCTTGCTTTGTGCACTGGGGCAGTCATGCTGGAACAGAAAAGGGTCTTCCCCAAACTGTTCCCACAAGGTTGGAAGCATACATTTGTTCAAAATGTCTTGGTATGCCGAAGTATTAAAATTTCCCTTCACTGGAACTAAGGGGCCTCAGCCAACCCCTGAAAAACAACCCCATAGCATTATCCCTCCTCCACCAAACTTTACAGTTGGCTCAGTGCAGACAGGCAGGTAATGTTCTTCTAGCATTCACCAAACCCAGACTCGTCCATTAGACTGTAAGATAGTGAAGAGTGATTAGTCAGTCCATGAGTCCAGTGGCGTGCTTTACACCAATCCATC